GATTCGGGGAAAATTGAATTTGAACGGGAAACGCGCGGGTGTAAACCGTTCAAGGTTTTATATAATGTAATATTAGAATATCAAAGTAGGAATCATTTTTCGAAATTAAAAACTACTTTACGATCTATCGTTTACCCGATAGTCTCAACATTGAAGTGAAATAGTGAAAACGTTAAGGGATATTATAAAATTTTTTGGAAAATTTTTAATTCCTCGATCGCACAATATATTCTACGTTTTTTTTCTCCATCGATTCTAAATTTTTATCTATTTTATACAAATTTCAAGTAGCGACAAGATTGTCACTGATACTAGTTTATTTTTGAGCGGTAGTGTTCACTAAAAGAAGTACGACGAGTTGGGTTATCGTTCGTCAAAAGAGATACAGATACGTTTTACGGAACAAACATCCTGTCACAAACGACACGCGTTTGGAAAAAAGTTGGCGAATAAGGTTCACTCGTCTCGGCCACGTAAGCGAGCACGTACCGGCACTTCCTGTTGTAGTTGCGTTAATTAACGCGTCCAAGAAAAGTGGTAACTGTGCTCCCGGTTACCGTGTCCCCGATAATACACCTGTTTAATTTCGTGGTCGAGCCAGTTCGAGGCAGTCGCGACTTAATTCGAGACGATTACTCTGCAAAATAGACACACCGGCCTCGTTACGCGGCTCGTTAACTCGTTCAATGTAAATCACGATTATTATGTCCCGGGGAACGGACCATTTTATTTCGAGTGTGTTATTAAACGAAACGAACAGCGATGCTCGCTCTCGTCTATCTAAAATGTTTCAGACTTTGACGTGGCATCTAACGATCCAGTGTAATCCAGACAAGCTCAAAAGGAAAGAAAGGAAGAGAAAAAGGACAGAAAGGAAGAGAAAAAGGAAAGCGTTCGGGACGTGGAGAAAGGAAGGACGAAGGGAATTAACGCGAGAATTTCTTAATAAAACATTGAATTGAAATTAAATTTTCACGTATGATATAGTCGTATCACGATGTATAATCGGTCTTTGGGAAAAAGAAGTGAAAGTTTGTAAATTTTCTGTTAACTGTTTCGGTAAAAACACGTATCATTAATCAAGAAACGAGTAAGATGGACGTTTATTACGTCTATAAAATTAACTTGCTAAAGGAGACAAGCAATTTTCCAAACCTCTTGATTTACTCTTCATTATACAATCTCCCCGCGACCGATATTTTATTTACCGAGAAATCGTTTCGACCATATTTATTATTCCTTCCTTATCGAGCAAGATACGAAAATCTTGCGAACGAAAACAGCGTCTCCTCGATTAATCTGTCCCTGAAATCCGACTCTGGACACCGAATTAATTTTTTATCATAAATTAAACCTCATCGAGCCTTCCTTCCATCCCAACTTCCTGTCCATCATCGTTCCCAAACACGCACCAACATTCGTCCAAGCAAAAGGACAAAGCTGGGACGAAGAGGCCGGCGATGGTGGACACGCCATCTCGAACCCCTTGACGTCATAATTGCTTCGTATAATCCAGGAATATAACCGGTAATTTGCCACGAGAACCGCAGAGAAGACAGAAATAACGAAGACCGTTAACCCTGGGCCGCGTGTCGCGAGGCGTCGTTAAGCGTCGTCGAGTGGAACTTTACGCGGCTGCCTTCGCGAAATCTCATCTCGTGTCCACGTTTCCTCGTCGGCTCCTTTCGTGATGAACGGGTTTACGGTCACGATGACGCAATCATTTCCGCCAGTTCGAACGGTTACTTTGAGATAACAGGATACTTTGAGAAGGATATCGATCGAATAAAAATTGAGCAGATGTTGGCAAATTCAAATTTTGAAAATTAAAATTAACGAGAATGTAAATTTAAATAAAATAATTCAATTCTTTTAAGAATCGTAATCAATCAAGGACGTGTCTTTTATTCGATACCTGATTAATAGATTTTCTTGGATATTCTTGGAAAGAATTATTCTCGCGCATGCCTACCAAAAAAGACCATGTCTTTTACGAAGTGTCATCTTATCTTCTCTTCTCCACATGTCATCGATGACAGTTATTACAGCTTCGGTTTACTGTTACATCACGAAAGGTGAATCAGAATTAGGAGAGGGGGAATGAATTAACCGTCGAGGGAAAGGAAGTGGAAAGGTCTTGATTGCCGGTGAATCGCGTTTAGGGCGCCGACATTTTAGGTAAAAAAGTCAGCCGCCGGGAATTCCGTTCCTTCGTCACCGTCGCGGTGATGCAATTTGCGATTGGTTCTCAAGGTTTTTGCCTCGACCACCTTTTTGAAGAATTAATGAAGGGGTTTTATTACGGGGCGTAGAGACCTCAGAGAAATATTCGTGGAAACGTTCAGGTCCGCGAGGACAGGATAAATTCTCTCCGGGGGTTTCGGTTTAATTCAATTACTCTCATTACAGAGAGGAAAAAATGCAAAGTAGAATTAGATTAGGAGTATCGCGGACAGAGAAAATCCGTCAGCTGTGTTCGGACAGTTCAATTATCAGAAAATTCGATTGTTCGGATTCTTTTTGCTCGCTTGAAACGCATTATTATCTATCACTCGCGGTGACAAGCGCCGCGTGGAAAGGAAATTGTATCCGTTCCTTAAAGTCCCTCGAAGTCGTACATCAAACTTGACTTTACCTTTCGCTTCTTTACGTATAATCCTCCTAATCTTTCTACGTCCATCTTGGAACGTTAAATTTAAATTTTAATAATCCATTAATAAATAGGGGAGCTATCTACGAAATAGAACATCAATTTACAAAAAGTACGTTTCCTTCTCAACAATAAATCGATCCAGACAAAAAGTTCATCGTCCCGTTCCCGACATTTCCCAATTTCATCGAGACTTTTTCCTTTTCGCCGACGAATCTCGCCACGTTTCCATCCATCTTTCGAAAACATTTTGTTTGATAAATTTTCCAATAAGCGTAACGCTTCGTGCACGGTCACACTTTTGCGATGGAGTAATATCGAAAAACGAGAAAAAAGGGGAGGGGACTCGAAACGTAAACATCCGTAATACGAAGACAGCGAGTCGAGGGATTCTGATCGATTCCGATGTTCGAAGGCCGTTCAATTACCGGACTTGTTCGAGCGGATCGATTTCTTGCGGTGTTTAACGAAATTCGCGAAATGGCGGAAACGGGATGAGAGACGGGGGAGACGGGAGGAAGGAAACGGTTCGTACGCCGATTGTTCGAGGATTACGTCAGTCGGCCCAAGGCGGATCGTAATAGCGAGTGACAAGAACGCAGTGACATGCCTAATGTCGTTTTCCATGCTTGGAAGGCGACGTGTAATGCCTTGGACCCGGGGCAGCCTCTACATTCGTCTTGGCTTTTGTCGTCA